TTAAAGAAAAACTTTGATGATTGAATATATTGACGGGGGCAGGATTGCAGTAAAAATTGAATTGACAAACTGAATACGTACAGAGTATAAATTAGTTGGGAATATGTATGTTTATGGTAGGAATGGAAATACATATTCACTGTGAAATTGGGGGATTGAATAATAGAGAGGAGGGAGGGGCGGGACATAGGATATTTTCTTTTGGACTGAAATTTGCTGTTCTGGTTTGGTTTGTTTAAGTCTGGTTTGGTCTGAACTGGTCTGGTCTGGTCTGGTAAACGTCTGGTCTCTGTGTATTTTATAACTACGGAAGTCTGGTCTTGCCCGTTTAAGTCTGGTCTGGTCTGGTCTGGTCTGGTCTGGTCTAGTCTAGTGACTCTAGTCTAGTCTATTTAAGTCTGGTCTGGGACTGAAAACAGTCCAAAAGAAAACATCCATATTCGTTGAAACGGGAACCACTTTCCCTCTCTTCAATTTCTTGAGTAGCTTTAGCCTTTATGTGGTTGGATACGTTTTCGTCTCTGAAAAATAAAAAAGAGATTTCTCACTTTCCTCTTTCAACCGTCCTTTTCCAGCAATCAAAGGATACCTCAAAGTGATACAGAGCACTTGCTTCCGTTTTCATGAATAATTAGGAGAGAATATATTCGTAGATACTCTTTTTCATTTTCTTTTACGCAAAATGGTACGATAGTATCAGAAATAGTTTCTTTTTTTGTGATTACATTTATCGTTAAGAATACGTCCATCTCTCCACTGTAAGAAAATTTAAATATGGATTTAGTAGATATGAAGAAATTATATGGACCTCCTTGATACAATTTTTTTCTGCATTCAAACACGTCAATAAAATATACTCGTTATATTTTTACATATTCATTTAATAAAATATTAATTAAATTATTATAAGCAAGATTTATCTCTCATTTTCTTCAGGAATAATTATGAACCTAAAATGCACATTTCCATGTTTAAAAATAAAAATTTTGTTATTTTTTTTACTTTTTTTATTAATAAAACATAAAATAGGTTTAAGTAAAATTTGTTTATTTGTGTAGAGATATGAATAAGAAAATTGCTTCGTATTTTTTAACCTAAAAATCTCTCACGCTTGAAACTTTCATTTTTTAAAACTTTATATATGCAATATTAGAGTCATAATATATATATATATATATATATAATTGAATTTTGATATTTTTTTGTAAAAATTGGAGCAAAATAGAAAATTATACGGAGTACTACTTTCATCTCATTTTAGTTACTCATCATTGACTTTTTTAGTCAATGACGGTAAACTTTGGTTAACCTTTTTAACACTTATATTATTTTGAAAATTATAAATTATAATATAGTTTTATGGTAATAATGTAGTATTTTTTTTAAAAAAGGAACGTTTTCATATCACTTTCATATTTTAAGTGCTTTCTTGTTGATAGTTTCTTATATGAATACATTAATAGTCAAAGTCTAACATCTTTGACTAGAAAAATCAAATATACTCCGTAACTAACTAAATGAGACTCAAAATTAAAGATATTTTTTGTCATGGGGTCCTCTTTTTTTCCTTCCTTTCCCTTTTCCGTTTTTCTTTCTTTTTGCCAGTTAAGAGGCTCTCTACTTTTAGCCTCCGTTTTCTAGCATTTTAAATTTCTACTACCTTTGTATTAAAGTTGTCTAATTCATTTTAATCACGAGGTTTGACAATTATCTAAAGCCATTTCCATCCATATGTGTGTGTATCAGTGTATGTGTATATTTGTCGGTTTGTGTGTATTTTTTTGTTATGTGTTAGGACAGGTACACATCCTAGTTAGCTTTTTTCCGTTTTAAACGCGTTTTAAACACGTACCGTTTTTTTGAGTAAAAAAACACGTTTAAAACGAAAAATAATGTCGGCCCGTTTAAAAAGGAAAAAAACTCCTACTTCCCGTATAAAACGAATTTTTCCCGTATTTTACAAAAAAAAAATTGAAACATGAATTGATCGATTGAACGAATGCATTAAATGCATAGGAGATCAACAATAGTGTAAAAGTAGAAATGAAAATGTCCTCGTGATCTCGTATTTTTGTATTGTTACAATACAATTATTAATTACTAAAATTAATTGCATGACAGTTAAAGCTAGCACCCTAAAGGACTAAAACTTAAAATAGTACTCCCTCCGTCCCTAATAGTTCTTTCATAGTACAAATGACACACAAATTAAGAAAGTGAGTATTGTGTGGTGGAGAGTTGTTCATAGGATACAGAAATGTGTAAGAATTGTGGTAAACAATTAATTCTTTACCAAAAAGGAAAATTGAAGTTCTTTTGGGACAAATGAAAAAGGAAAGTTGAAAGTTCTTTCAGCGATGGAGAGTAGTAGATTTATGATGTTTTTTCAAAACAAGCATATCAAAATTAAGTTTTTTCTAAACATGACATTTTTAGTATAAACTCTTACACAAACAATAATAAGCGTAGCAATCGCACAACTTTTTTCATATGTCATCCGTCATCTTGATGAAATTTGTGAGTTTAACTTGAGTGTTATTTGATGATAATAGAAAGATAATGATTTTAACGTAGTCTCATTCCATTGTTATTAAGCCTTATTTTGTCATCATTTTGTAAAATTATGTCTTGGACTTACTTACACCAGTTGTGGTTGATCCCCGCCTCCTTGTCCTGGAGGCTCTCCAGTAGAATTATGAATTATTTATTTATGTAGTAATAGAATTTTCTACTTGATATATGTATACTTTTATTTCTTTTTACTAAATATGTTATTTTGTATAAAGTATATAATTTAAATGTTCAAAATAATGTCCCGTATTTTTTGTCCGAATTTTTGTAACGGATAACGTATTATACACGTATACGTATTTACACGTTTTATAAAAGTCAACGTTTTTTTTAACGAATTTTTGACCGTTTTTTCACTTATGTTACCGAATAAAATACGAACGTATTAAACCCCGTTTAATTCCCGTACCGTATTTAACTAACTAGGGTACACATATACATATCAATAATGAAACAAGAATGTGTATTTGCATTTACATACTAATGATAAATAACAATCATATGTGTAGTTGCGTTTACATACTAATGATAAATACTTTAAAGTATTAAAAAAGAAGAAGTGAGCTAGCACACATTCTATTTGAAACAATATAGTTTTCACTTTAAATTAAAGGAAAAATTCCCGAAATAGGAGTATAAAAGTTTAAAATTTTCAAAATAGGACGGTGATGTTTTTATTTCCAAAATAAGAATAATTACTGCCACGTTTGAAAAATACTGTCATGTTTAAAGTGTGGTACTGCCAAAACATGGCAATAATTAATCCTATTTTGGGAACAGAAATATAACAGTCCTATTTTGGAACATACAAACGTTTTTAGTCATATTTAGGATAATTTCCCTAAATTCTTACATGTTTTCTTTACAGTGATACATAAATCAAATTCAACGTAGTTCTTTGTCATTTTTATTTGTTAATATAAATAAAAAGTAATAAAAACAAAACCTCTATTCATTGTATATGTTGGTCCCATCACTTGTACTTGCCTTGTATGTAAAATGGCGTGTTAGTGCGATATTTCGTTCATTTGCACAGTGTCTCTTTTAATTATGCATGGATACAAGTGAGAGTTTCATGTAATTTTTCGCCCAGTCAAGTTTTATAATCAGTAAGAATGTTACAATGACTACCAAATTCTTTTGAGTTTTGTCCACTACAACTTTAAAATCAGCATGGATAAAATTTGTTTAGCCCTTATTAATAATATTGGAAACATGTGTTCTTGTCTTTCCACAATTATAATATAATCAAACTCTACTTTTGAGTATAAAAGTTTTAGAACTTATTGAGCATCAAATGATTGTACCATCCCTTAGGTATAGCTGGTTTTATAATGATTGATACCAAGCAATCAAATACTAAAAGTTGTCTCAAAATGATGTCACTTATTTGATATTTTGGCATAAGCTTTTGATGAGTTAAATTACTAGATTTATGATGAAAAAGGGATTTATATCACCTTTGTTGTATATTAACATAGTTAAATTATTAAAAAAACTATATCACAAGCACGAAGTACGTGTTATCATTTGTTTATGAGTGGTAGTTGATATCCCCTCCGATCTCTATTTTTGTTTCATTTTACCTTTTTCGTCTGTCTCATTAAATTTGTCTCATGTCATATTTAATAATATTTGAATTATTACAATTCATTTTTACTTTATTCATACTATCAATCTAATATCAAATTATCAATCACACAATTCCATTTTTCTTGATATTATGTCAGAGGGATGGAGGTAGATCATTTTAAAGAGTTTTTTTCGAATTAATGTTAATTAATTAATTAATTACGAAAATAATGCTGGAAAAAAAGTATTTACCAATATACTGCTGGGTTTAACCACGGTCAGGGGTAAGTAGCCCAACGGTTGGGCGACTTATAACTCGCCAAACGGTTTGGCGACTTATAAGTCGCCCAACCATTGGGCGACTTACCCCTTGTATATGTGCGAAGGCCAGCAGCTACTGCCAGCCAGGCACGATCGTGCTTGCAAGGGTAGGCACGATCGTGCCTAATTCCGAAAACAGAATTTGAGCAGGTTTTTCGCCCCAGTTCAACCCGGACTCATCTGTTTGGTATAAATAAGGTCTCTCTTCTCCTGTTTAAGTGTTACGAGCCAGATACAACACATTATAAAACATACAACACACGTCTTCACAATCACATACATAACACCTACTCTCAACAACATAAAAAACACCTTGAAAATACCCTTTACAAATCAAATACAAAACCTTACATTCATAACCGGTATAACACAGTACAATCATCCAGTATTCATAACAAGTAATCATCTAATATTCATACTCGAACACATCACGACAACATACAAGACTTTACAAGAGAAAATACGTCAAATGTTGTAAATTGTTCCTACAACATCTACTGCATAAGAAAAAATAAAATACAAAAGACAAACTACAAGTTCCCATCGGCAGCTTCGTCATGGAGATGTTGCTGCTCATGTCTACGCCTACGCCGCTGTCGTGGTTGAAGAACCACTCTCTCATGCTGCGTCTGGGATGATGAAGTCGCCGCTGCACTAGACGTGGATGACATCTCCTGAGATGGGGGCATGTGTATAAGATGGCCGTAGTCGACTCGCCCCAACACATCTGAACACAAGGACGCAATGCCTGTCAGAGCCTGTCCATACATGTCCACATCATGACTATCAGTCACTGTGGCAGTAGCCCGCTGATGTATGTGCTGCAAAGCTCGTGTCTGAAATATGAAACACAATTACATTTACATTGAAATACATACAAATATTACATAAATAAAATGACATACTTTACTAATTACTAATATACTCACCGTAAGATGCAAAGCCAAGGAGCTAGGCTTATAATGATGAGTAGGGAGTCTGAACGAAGGAGACACAAACAAACGAGTGATGCTGTAATACCATCCCATGTAGTCTCCTGAAACAGATGGCACATATGTCGGTGTCCCAGCCACAACTAGCTCAGCTCTCCTTTCCCACATAGTCACGTATCAGACATGTCTGAGTGCCCAATCCTCTGTATGCTTCCCACGCCTATCCAGCCTATGCAGCTCAACATAAGTGTCGATAGGCCGTGGAACGACATGCTCAAACCCAAACTGTCGCAATACTCTATCAGGCAAATGAAGCTCAACAATGTCTTTAGAGATGAAATCTGAAGTCAAAGCCACGTGATCGGTAGTGTCGGTGTTGCCAACGCACGTAGAAGAATGAGGTCCAGGATAACGCACAATTGTGAATGTGTCAAGGTTGCCTTTGTTCTTTGTGGCACGTATTCTCCAGGGGCAATCGCTTTCTTTCTTCCTTTTGCATTGTGCCACCCACTTGTGTTTATCAGACTCTATCACCCGATAAAATTGGTTCCGTTTGATAGAATACAAGCTCATCATATTGATGACTTGTTCTTTGTTGTCAAACTGTTGACCGACCTCAAACTCACCATTGGGGGTAAACCTTTTCTCACCTGATCCACTCATCCACGCATCAGTAAAGCCTTCACGGAGTTCATACATTCTAGTAAAGTTGCTAGACGGGGCAGTTTCCGTGACAGTATCACCATCATCTTCATCAGATTCTGTCATGTCATCACCATTGATGTTCTCGTCAGCATCATCATCACTTCCCTGTCCATCCACAAATGATGCACCGTTGTGCAAATACCTACCATCTTCCTGTATAACCATGTCCAGTACAGGAGCCTTTGAGGAGTTCCCTGCATTCACCCTTGCATTGACATCATGTGTCGATACGACAACATTTGATGTTGATTGAGTACCATAAGCGTCACAGGATTTCTCAATGTATATCTCAATCGTCGACATATCCTCCATCTGAGTTATGCCCCACATATTTGTTATAGCTAGCTCATCAATGAGGGGCATAAGCATGTACTTTCCCCCGTTCATGGGAAATTTCATTTTCAACCGCAAAGAACGGCTAGGATGAATCATTGTGGCTGCATGTATTTTTTGAAGGATCTCCAGCATGCATGCACCACGAGAAACCATGACAAAGCTGGTTCTACCACCTTGAAAGCATATTTGCCCAGCATCCTCATAATAGTTCCCTCCCCAATGACATATGATTGGAAAGCTTGAGAAATCCATATTCTAATAACAATACATGTCCAACTTTCATGAGTACACATTAATATACACACTTTATACACATTCAAATTTTCAATAGAAAAAACTACCTACATTGTAATATACCCAAATGACAAAATGCACAATCAATTCACATTTCAATATCAAAATACCCAAATGTTGATATCTACATTCAAGTCTACATTTCAATACCCAAATCTAGCAACATTCAAATCTACCCAAATCTCAAAATACACAATTAAATTTACAAACAATTTCATATCAAAATTCAACATTTCATACATATTCACATTACACAACAAATCAATTCACAAATGAATTCCTAATTTACAAAATCGAATTTTCAATATTCAAAACCCTAACATGAAAAATGAGATAAATTGGAGAGATTTACTTACCTAGAGTGTTGAAGAAGATGGAGATGAAAGATTATTGGCAAGATGGAGAAGACCTCGCCGTCACCGGAGCTCGAGATTCGCCGGAGATGGAGTTGCACCCGTCGTCTTTCTCGCTTGCGTTCAGTTTGCCAGAGCCTTTTTGCTTGGGATTTCTTCTGCGTTCTGTTCTGTGGCTTGGCCTTACCCAATAAATTTACTTAAGGGTAAGTCGCCAAACTGTTTGGCGACTTATAAGTCGCCCAACCGTTGGGCGACTTATAAGTCGCCAAACGGTTTGGCGACTTACCCCGACCATGGTTAAGCCGGCAGTATATTAGTAAATTGTTTTAACCCAACCCTATTTTCGTAATTATTTAATTAATTAACATTAATACGGAAAAAAACTTCATTTTAAAGCGGTTCTCTCTGAAAGTCATAAAAATGTGGTTCATTTTGAAAATAAGAGAAACATTCATCAACACACTTGCAGAAAGAGATTCATTGCAGACATCCACTATTTATTTTTCTTGCTTGTTTTGGGTGGATGATAAGTATAGAGTATTATACTGCACTAATGACAGCATAATTGACTCTACCGGCCAATTCGTATACCAATTAATATCATATATATTGCCTTTATAAGAGAGTTAATTAATAAGGAGTTGGTGAGTTGGTCTAAGACATTTTAAATATGTACATACTACGAAATTTGGATGGGTTATGGGTATATTGTTACATTTGCCATGTAGGAGCCTTTATTTACATACTTCTCCAACTCACCTTCTCGTTTACATATTTTCAGTCCTTACCATGACCGCATAATAGCTTACACACCCCACGTTCCACAACTGAGAGTAGTAATCAACTCCTAATATTTTCTGCCCCAAAGAGTATCCCAAATTTGGGGTTTTCATCAGACTAGAAAAACTTGTGTAGTAAAGGTGCAACTGGGGCCAGTTCCACACATATACCAATCTTCGGCAAGTCACTGTTTTTTATCTTTACCCTTGGTGAAATCACTTTCTCTTCCACCCAAACAATAAAATAAAAACATTTTGTCTCACTCAAAAGGTCCTAGTCACCGCCCTATTTCTACAACTTTATGACTTTATCCCACTGTCATCCAAGTTGATGAAATAAACCCCAACACACCTTCATCACCCTTGAAGACAATAGATGCCGGTAGCTCCCTGACCCACTTAAATGGTATTTTTGTCAAAAAAGCATGCGCCCCTTGTTTAACTAAATATGGGGTGTTTGGATGTGATTCTCAAAACTGATTCTGCTCCTTCAGGAAGTAGAAGCAGAAACTGGAGTGTTTTGGTGAAATTCCAGAAGCACTTCTGGTGCTCTAATTTACTCCCAGAATCGGTTTTTTAGAAGCTGGGGGGTACCAGCTTCTAAAAACTGATTCTGATTCTGCTTCTGTTTTAAAAAAGAAGCAGAAGCAGAATCAGTTCCAAACAACCCCTTTATCTCACTTAGTGTGTTGGTGGGCAAGAACGATAGATAGGAGGAACGACCCTTAGCCCTTAAGTTGTCACTGTGCCTACCAACAGCAGAGGTGGGGTGGGTATAATGACCAATTGAGAATTACCAAAGATTGAATGGTTAAGCAAAGTGTGAAAGTGGTATGAAAGGGAGGTGGATGCCACCCATCCACACACACCAAAGGCCCCATCAGATGACACAGCATTGTGATAGTGTGTGGTCCCCACCGATGCTCCATTAATTGCTAAATAGCTTGCAACAACGAAAGATTGGATCTTTCCACACAAGTCAATAAAGAATGCGTTTAAAATTTTATCATTACACCTGTATAGCGTGAGAGTAAAATCCTTTTTAGTTTTTCCCCCCATAACTCAAACAATGAAAGAAAAGGGGGATATATCTACATGTGAACATTGATAAGTAGAGAGCTATGGAACTTGGTTTTGAAACGTTGTAGCTTTGGGCAACTGACATTGCAAGTGTTTTTGATAAACATCAGAGATGGGTAAAAATGCTTTGAAAGCTGGTAACCATTGCATTCTTCAAAAGGATGTAGCAGTTGAAGCGCCTATCTGAGGTTGGACATTAGGGAAGCCGAAGTCTTTGAAAATTCCCTGAAGCAATCCCAATCATACAATGATGATTCCATGCAGTAAAAATGTCAAGCATTTTAATGAGAACAAAGTGTACTCAGTATATGGTAAATGCATACCAGCATATCATTGATGGCATACGCGACACAGTAGTGCTCCTAAAAGAATGCAATTGCAGGAAAAGTATCACATAGTGCTTCTTCAAAAATAATCAGTGCTTAAAAATGCTTTTACTTGAATCCGCTTCAGTCTCAAACCAGAACATAAGAGACTTAAACAAACCATGCTTAAACAGACCAGACCAGATAAAGTATACAAAGACTCTGAAAAAAAACATTCCACATCCGTGGATTATTAATGGATCGCACAATGGGCAAGATTCAGAGTCTCTATATTTTATCAATGGATCGCACAATGGGCAAGATTCAGAGTCTGTATATTTAATCAATGGATTGCACAATGGCAAGATTCAGAGTCTGTATATTTTATCAATGGATCACACAATGGGCAAGATTCTTAAAAAACATTAATAATCATTATAATCTTTCTTTCATGCTTATGTTTAAACAGACCAGACCCGATAAAATACTTAACATTTTTACTCTGAATCTAGTACGATCCATCTGGAAAAAATGAAAAAAATAAACTTTTAGAGATCACTTTGTCAAGCAAGGTCATCGAGTCACGCCAAGGGAGATTAAAATCTCAATAAATTCATTTTAGAAGCCTAGTAAAAAACAAGAACTTTTTAATGGAAAAGGTTTATATTGAGATACACGCAACAATCAAGACAATATCTAGAGAGCAATAATAAAAGATAAAATTACAAAAGTAGTAATTTAGAAACTAATTTGGAGTTTTAGAAAGTAACTTGATTATAAACAAAGGAACCGAAACTTTCTCAAAGTCTAGAACTCAAAGGACAACCTATGACTACTAAACTCGAAGCATCGCTAATCACTACTTCTCTGTTGCGTGCCTGCATTACAAGGTTGAAAATGACCTGCGACTGCTGCGTTGCAAGGTTGAAGACAACCTTCGCTACATCTCCAGCTATTTGTTTTTATCTGTTATTCACTTATCACTTTATCGACTTCTTATGGCTATTATATAAATATATTACTCTATCTGTCCCACAAAATTTGCTCGAGTTTGACTTGCATGTAGAATAATATAATGTAAAAAATTGTGTGGTTGAAATTTGTGTAGAGGGGAGAGAAATAACTTTAACCACATATTTATTATGTAGTGAAATCCAGTTCCATGCATCATAAGAAAATTGATTTGATATTATGGTCTCGGCACTAAGTTTATAGTTTCACGAATGGAAAAGACATGAACAATCAATGATCCTGCAGTTATAAGGCCCTAAGCAAACATATACAATGATAGAGTAACACTCGACTTTATCCTACTAGATAAATGAGAATCAAGCATGCACACTTGCCCCATTAAGATATGGGACCAGCACATTGCTTGTGCTTTCACCTAAGACTAATAGTCACAAAGAAAGAATTACCTGCATCAGGTGCCATTCTTCAAACTCATCAAATAATTCCAATCGTTCAATCCTAATCAAGAGAATCACAACATGAGGGTCATATTATTCCCTTAGTAAACACCTTCCGAGTGGGAATTAAACAGATAAAAATGTGACCTTTTTAGCAAGTAAAATTTCACAAAAGATGGCCAGAAAATAATAATAGCAAAAGTTGCTGGGCACTTGCCAAAATAGGCACAATTTTTTTTAAAGTGGTTTTCATGGGATGTGTAAATAAACTGCATTAACTAATGAGCAATTATATACAGCAAACAGATTAACACATTTTCTTAAAAAAATAAAAATTGACTGTAGAGCATCACATTTTTTAGCAGGCATGCCAAAACTTGATTGCCATGTATATAGTAAGTAAGGCTCATATAGCACAGCACTTCTTAGTTATAGCATATGTGACTTGAGAATCATCAAGACATCATCAAATTGATGGGGAGATTGAACCAAATTGGCTGCCTTTTGGTCTCTAGGCTATAAGCCTATTGAGTATGGACTTAACCCAAAGCTTCAAGACCAAGCATGATAGCCGATGGAGCCACCATTCAAATGATGCACAGATAAGCAAGCTCGTGAAACAGAAAGAGTGGAAATATCATTTAGAGCCTCTGCATGATGAATCCATGGAGCATGAGTTCTAACAAGAACCATACTCCTTTAAAGCATGAAGCATCTTACGTCTTAAGTACATGAGACCCGGGTGATGGCTCGATAAAATTAGGTACACACCTGCGTCTTTCTTGAGATTCGACAAAATCAATATACACTCGCAGCATATCCCAAGCAACTGCTATCTAAACATGATCATGAAAAAACAACAATGGTTGTTAGAAATTTATCGTAGTAGAGTGGGGTGATGATGGTTAGGGGCACAACTAAAATATGAAGTTCCAAA